TAAGTGTCCTCCAGTAAATCAAAGACACTTGAAACACAGAGGGCTACGGTCTGAACAGGACAAAGCACCACATATTTAACATCTGTTTCTGTTACTTTATCATTTCAGTTTTATAAAGGAACCTCTCACCGTGGCATCTGACAGTAGCTTCCTTGCTGGGAACAACAAACTTCTTAACTGCAAATACAAAACACTGTGCAAGAGCCAAACAGCATCAAAGGATTATCCCTTCCTTTATTTCACATTCAGGAGAACATCCCTAAACAGAAATAATTTCTCAGTTTGGAATATCTTGGAAAAAATCCATTATACTTTTAACAGGCTATCGTACAAGCCATTCCCCTCTTGAGCCTGCTGTGTAACACATCCCTAAAAAGTAGGCACAAAGTGGGAACAGTTATTCCATAGGGTACAAAACCACCTAACAACAGGTGAAAGAGTCACTGCTTTCATTATCTTAAGGATTCATTTTGCAAATGAAAGAGAGAGAATGAGATATTAGAAGTGAAGGTCAGGGTAGAATGGAATAGGATCGAGTCTTTCTTGCAGGTTTGCCTTTCCCTCAAACTTTGAACTGGCACTGGGAAACACCACAGGGATTAAAGCATCTGTACAGACTGTTGAAAAGTAAACACAACACGTCAAACTAGGAAAAGATCTAATGCTGTTTTGCTACCTCATTCCTTCCACACTAGCGTTTACTTCACACAGAAGGATGATGCAGCTCCAATTTTCCCCGGAAGACTGGAAAATGGACAGAGTATGTCTGCACAGAAAGGCGACTGTGTTAACTAACTCCTATCCCTTACCTCTCATCCTTACAGGAGACCATCACTTCAGTTTCAGTGTTTTAAACTCAAAATAAATGGGTCAGCTTTGGATACAGACCAGAAACTAGAATGAAAATGGCTTCTGACAGGTAATTAAGCTCTCTGCAGCAAGGATGCGAGCTAAAGTGCCAGGCAGCCTCCAGTACCCTCTCAGTTCCTCTAGTGAGCTGAGGAGGACACTTAAAATTTATTGGTAAAGAGCTTGTGGCGCTCCGTTTACTTCACAACAAGCCTTGGGGTATGTGCTTAAGAGTCCCAGCAATACAGGATGAACATAGAACCATCAAGCAAGAATGCAGTAGGTCTGTTGAAAAGCTGTATTGAGAAACCCATGTCTGAACCGAGGTGACAACCATTTGGCCCATCCTGCACTACAAACACATCCTCGATGCCTCAGTGAAATACGAGATACACTCGCTTGTGATGGTACCTGCAGAGGAAGTGGAAAGGAATAAGTCTTACTGTATCCTATCTACCAGGAGAGACTGCCCAGAAAGATGAGGGGGAAAAGTGATGGCAGAATTTCCATACAATTAAATTCACAAAGACAAAAACCAACACACACAACAGAAATCAACCTTCTGCAAAAAGCATAACTAAATCAGAAGTCAAAGCAATAATCATGCCTTCAATTCCTTCCATGTCATTTTTATTCAACAACCACGGTACCTCCTTTCCAGAGACATCTCTTTCATAGAGTAATTCTTGTTGAGCCAAGATCAACAGCTGATAATCCTTGCCACCAAAGCACGCTGCTGTTTGTTTTAAATAAATTTGCTCTTCTGAATAGGACAAAGTCTTAAGCTTAGACACTTCTCTTGAGGCACACAAACGTCAGTTTAACAACTACATCCAGTATTGGAGCAACACTTAGTAGACACAATGAACAATGGAAGCACTGTAGGAAAAGGAGGAAGAATTTTTGTAGCTACTTCCTCTAAAATACTATTCTGATTTTGTAACATCACCTGAAAACTAGAAAACATCCGTGACCATTGCCTGGGAAGCACTGAATCAACACCCAGCATCTTAGTAACGGAAGATTTACAGCACTCTTCAGCTAGCTGATCCAGAAAAAGGAACAGTCCTATGCTGTTTGCAGCCACTCTATGTAATTGAGCAAAATCTCTGAAGGATTCTGAAAACAGCCTATGCTACAGAAGACACATTTCATCAGTGCAATGCCTACTGATCAACTGAACACACCCTGAAGTTTGGTTTTTAATTTTTGCTGTGCACATGAGGATATAAAAGGGAACTATCCCTGCAGTTACCTATTTTAAAATCTCACAACTTGTATTTCAAACTAAAGAGCTACCATCATTTAAAATACTATCATGCTACAGTCCAACCATTGTAACCAACATCAGCCTCTTACTTACAGTAAGAAATAACACATTTGCTTTGACCTCACTGATTCCTAGAGAGCGTGTATACCTGTATAACAACTTCCTTCAAATATACAGAGCCCTACAAAATTGTCTGAGGAGTATTTTTTCCTAACTCCGAAGGAGATCAAAGCCAATGCATTTTAACTATTTCTTGTCACAGACTAAGAACAAACTCAGTATGGCTTACGATGCACAGGAACTTGTCAATCCTGACTGTGTAACAGCACTTGTGCTCTTTATGAAGTCCTGGAAAAGGAGCTATTTGTCACAAAATTATTTTAGAAATGAGAACAGTACATTCAATCCTCCTCAAAGAGGACTGGTGCCACAAAGGCCTGGACCAGCCTGGACCTTCATCAGGGGGATCCTCAGAGGTTTGACAGTTGATGAAACATTTTCTGTCCTATGCACAAAAGAATAAAGCATGTTTACTAAAAGCAGCATAACAGACGAATTGGGCCTAAGCATGCTATGGGGAAGTGCTCCACAGAAATACTGTTCACCTTTTCCAGCTTTGAGTGTAACGCATTAAGCGTCCGCATAAACATACTGTTTCCACTTCTCCATGTAGTTTTCCACATTTTGCAGGACACTGCACACTTCATAGTAGCACTATCTTCTTCTGTCACCAAATCAATACCCATAAATTTAACATATACTAAAACAAAAATGTAAGTTTTCCAGGTATCATCACTAACAAATAACACCTTGTCCTGTGGACAACAGGCTTAAAAGCCATTTGAACATTCAAGTGGGTTTGGAAGTTGTATTTTCTGTTTCAGTCCAACAGTACCAGTAACGAAGATCATAGTTTCCCAAATCAAGTATTTAATTTATTTACATGTTTACAACTTTTCCAGATACTTTTCATAGCTGATACCATCTGGATATTGTACTCATATGAAGAGACACTGTAGTCTACAAATATTTTTAGCCTGTCACTAACTCCACAGCCACTCACTGATACTCCAGCAAAGCATAACTGTTAGACCATTCATAAGAAAGCTTCTAAGGCCACAACTACTTACTCGAAGATGAACATAAACGATATCCTTAGTGCCCGTTACTTCCCAAATAACATGTGACACTTCAGTGCGGAAAGTCTCACATAACATGTTCTTGACGACTAATTATTTCACCTATACTAATTTCCTGATCACATGCCTCTAATTCAAGAGAGAATAACAGGCCACCACATCCAATTGCTTTCTGCCTACAAAAGCTTTGACACAAGGAAAATATATCTTAGTCAGAAGCTGTACAACATGAATAATTTGAAAGCTGAATTATGACCGAACCCAGCTTTCCTGCATATCAGCTTCACAATGAAGAATGTATAGTTGACTACAGTAGTTGACAGTAGTACAACAGAATTCCTCTATTTCGTATATAGATGTATCAGGGCTCTCAACACCACAGCAACGCACTAAATGGGAAAGCGAGTACCAAGCGCGACCCTCCCTTATCCTCCTTTCCAACTCGTTGCTCCCCTAACGCTTTCTTTTTCTCCCCGAGTCTTTCCCTTTTGGCCTACACCCCAGCGTCATCTTCCTCGTTTTGATTCCCGCTTCCACCTTCCCCAAAACAACATCCCCTTTCCAGGGTGGCCAAGACACCCGGCTGCTTCTGGGCCTGGCGCAGCCTCCCCTGCGGGGAGCGGGGTGGAG